TAGTCTTTTATACGTTTTAATAGATAAATTACACTTACCCAGAATTTTAAGATACGGAATTCAAAAATCAGATTTTAAGATATTTTTTTTTCAAAAATCTGATACTTATTCATCTTTTAATATTCATCCATTCACCCATTATCTAGTAAACCTATCCCCAACCTACCCAACTGAAAATCCTTACCCCTACAATTTAATCTTCATGTTCCAGTTTCCACTACCGTGAGAAAGAGCGATTCGAAGCTTGAAAATTTTGCCTTCAGTAACCTCCAATTCTTCGGAGATGCAACAGCTGCGACGATCTGAATAGTCTAGCCTTGAGGGCGGCGCCTCTAAGCGTAGCGTTGAGGCATTGAGGCGCGACTTCATGCGATCGAAGGCGCAGCAACTGTGCCGATCTATACCAGTCCCGCCCCAAGGCAGCGCCTCTACGCATGGCATTGATGTGTGGCATCGGAGCCGTGGTGTTTCTCCAGCGATATGTGGTGGCCGAGGTAGAGTGCAATGATGGTGTGTCTGTGCTCTACGTCATGATTTGGCAATAATTTTTGTTGGTGCGCTGGTGTTAGATTAGTGTTAAATCAAAAAGGATTTATTGAATCTGGTGGTAGGATTGGCTTTTGTTGGTGGAGGTGGTGGTAAATCTGGCATTGATGTGTCAATAAACTGGTGCCTGAATTTTTTAGGTGAGTTTTATTGTGTTTGCAGTTGGTGGTGGCGGTGGTAGAGGTGGCCATGGCGGTGTTGTGTTGGCTGGCGTGAGAGACGGCCTCTGTGGTGATGGTGGTGGTTGTGGCGGTGGTGCGGTGATTGGTGGTTGGGCATGGTGCTGCGGTGGTGGTGTGCGGTGGTTGGGTGCAGAATGGTGATGGTGGTGTTGCAAAAATGGTGGTGGTGGTGGTGACGATGGTAGGGGCGGTTGTGATGATTTTTGTTGGTAGTGTATTGGATCTAGTGGTGGTTTTAGAGGTGTCAAGACGGACGGGCCGACCATGACCCGTAAAAATCGGCCCGTGAAAATCGGGACCGCGGGCCGACCCGTAACCCGTGCGGGCGGTTCACGGGCCAAGGAGGTGTAACCCACGGGCTTCGCGGGTTGCACCCCCACGGGCTGCGGTTAACCCTCGGCCCGTAAAAAAAAATTAAAAAAAATAAAATAAAAATTAAAAAAAAGGGGAGAGATTATTTTTACAATACCCTCTCATTAGTT